TTTACCATTATGTAATGCCCTTCTTTGTCTCTTTTGATCTTTGTGGGTTTAAAGTTCATTTTATCAGAGACTAGGATTGTAACTCCTGCTTTTTTTTTTTTTTTCTCTCCATTTGCTTGATAAATCTTCCTCCATCCCTTTGTTTTGAGCCTATGTGTGTCCTTGCATGTGAGATGGGTTTCCTGAATACAGCACACTGATGGATCTTGACTTTTTATCCAATTTGCCAGTCTGTGTCTTTTGATCGGGGCATTTAGCCCATTTACATTTAAGGTTAATATTGTTATGGGTGAATTTGATCCTGCCGTTTTGATGCTAGCTGGCTGTTTTGCCCATTGGTTGACACATTGTTTTCATTGTGTTGATGGTCTTTACCATTTGGTACATGTTTGAAGTGGCTGATACTGGTTGTTCCTTTCCTTGTTTAGTGCTTCTTTCAGGAGCACTTGTAAGGCAGGCCTGCTAGTGACAGAATCTCTCAGCAATTGCTTGCCCATAAAATATTTTCTTTCTCCTTCACTATAAAGCTTAGTTTGGCTGGATATGAAATTCTATGTTACAAGTTCTTTTCTTTAAGGATGTTGAATATTAGCCCCCACTCTCTTCTGGCTTGTAGGGTTTCTGCTGAAAGATCCACTGTGAGTCTCATGGGCTTCCCTTTGTGGGTAACCCGACCCTTCTCTCTGGCTGCCCTTAGCATTTTTCCCTTCATTTCATCCCTGGTGAATCTGATGATTATGTGCCTTGGGGTTGCTCTTCTTGAGGAATACCTTTGTGGTGTTCTATTTCCTGGACTTGAATGGTGGCCTGGCTTGCTAGGTTGGGGAAGCTCTCCTGGATAATATCCTGAAGAGTGTTTTCCAGCTTGGATTCATTCTCTCCGTCATATTCAGGTACACCTATCAAACGTAGATTGGGTCTTTTCACATAATCCCATATTTCTTGGAGGCTTTTTTCATTTCACTCTTTTCTCTCTATTCTTGCCTTCTCATTTTACTGCATTGAGCTGATATTCAATATCTGATATTCTTTCTTCTGCTTGGTCAATGCAGGTATTGAAACTTGTGTATGCTTTGCGAAGTTCTCATGCTGTGTTTTTCAGCTCCATCAAGCCATTTATATTCTTCTCTAAGCTGTTTATTCTATTTAGCATCTCATCTAACCTTTTTTCTAGGTTCTTAGTTTCTTTGCATTGGATTAGCACTTTTTTTTAGCTATGAGAAGTTTGTTATTACCCACCTTCTGAAGCCTGTTTCTGTCAGTTCATCAGATTCATTCTCCATCCATCTTTGATCCCTAGCTGGTGAGGAGTTGTGATCCTTTGGAGGAGGAGAGGAGTTCTGGTTTTTGGTGTTTTCATCCTTTTTACACTGGTTTCTTCCCATCGTAGTGGCTTTATCTACCTGTGGTCTTTGTAGTTGGTACTTTTGGATGGGGTCTCTGAGTGGATGTTCTTTTTGTTGATGTTGAAGCTATTTCTTTCTGTGTCTTAGTTTTCCTTCTAACAGTCAGGCCCCTCTGCTTCAGGACTGCTGGAGGTCCACTCCAGACCCTGCTTGCCTGGGGATCACCCACACAGACTGCCGAACAGTAAGGGTTGCTGCCTGTTTCTTCTGTTATCTTCATCCCAGAAGGGTACCTGCCAGATATCGGCCTGAGCCTTCCTTTATGATGTGTCTCTTTGGGTATACATGGGTCAGGGAGCTGCTTGAGGGCACAGTCTGTCCCTTATAGGAGCTCAAGTGCTGTGCTGGGAGATCCATTGTTCCGTGCAGAGCTGCTGGGCAGCTACTTTTAAGTCTGCTGCAGCAGAACTCATAAACACCTCTTTTCCCAGGTGCTCTGTCCTAGGAAGGTCGGCTTTATTTATAAGTTCCCGACATGATGCTGCCTTTTTTCATAGATGCCCTGCTCCACACAGAGTAGTCTAGTCACAGAAGAAGTGTTGCTGAGCTTCTGCAGGCTCTGCCCAGCTGCTGTGTCAACTGCCTCAGTAGTGGTGGTCGTCTTCCCCCACTGAGCTGGACCATACTGGGTCCAGCTGCACTTGCTGCAAAACTCTCAATCCAGAGCGTTTCAGATTGCTTGCTTTGTGGGGGTGGTACCTGCCAAGCCAGATCACCTGGCTCCCTGTCTCTGCTCCCCCCGTCTTCATTAAATGGGTGGCTCTGTCTCTCAGGCGTTCCAGGTGCCAGTTAAAACGGCCACCCAGATTTGTGTGAGTTTCTGTGCACCAACTCAGCACTAGCCATGCTGAAAACTCATGGCACTTTTCCGCCCAGGAATCTCCTGGTCTGTGGGCAGTGAAAATTTGTTTGGAAATGTGGTGGGCACTCACCCTCTGCGTTGCTCTTGCTGCACTCCGGAGCTGTTCCTATTTGGCCATCTTGGATCCAGTCAGTTGGAACATGTATATTTTCAAGTCATTGTTTGGCAGTAACATTTTACAGTATTATCAGCTTTGGTCTTTCCCCAAAATATAACCCACAAGGTTATATATATTTGTAATTATTTCTGCTGAAGCCAACTAAAAACGTGTAGGATTAACAAATAGATTTTAAATCAATTTTGGGTTGTAGGGTGGATCAAGCTAATTTTATTGTTTTTGTAATCTCAAGAAATGACATTGGATACACACAAAAGTAGCCTTTCACCTAGCAGTGGTAGCACCCAGAAGGAACTGGTTAGTAATTTAGTCTGTAGTTGGTGGCTTCGTTTCCCTGAGCTGTCATCAAATATCATGTAACAATTATGCTATTCTGGGAGATATAAACACTGAACATCCCATTTTCTGGAAGATGGAATGTGAGCCTAACCTGCTCAGATCTGTATCCTGTGTCCCACTATCACCTCCTTGTTAGATTTTAATTTCCCACATGTGAACTGATAGGTGTTATCAAGGAAGGCACTTTCAGCTTGATCAGCTTTATGGTACTGAAGTCCTAGAGAGGAAAATCCACATTAAGATCTAGCTGAAGGAAAACTTGACATTGACTTCAGCAAAAATGGAAGATGAAGCCTTGTACCTGTTGTTCCCCTTTCCTTACAAGTCCTCTCTCCGTTTTGCTTCTGTCAAGAAAGGAAAACCCAGAATCATCAAGTCCTGTGCTTAAATATGTTCTCTGTTGGTTTACAGTGTCCTCCTAAAAGCATGTATTAGCTCTTTTGGAAGAGCACAAACTTGATGAGCTAACTTCTCACGTCGTGCCTGCCTCCCATGGGCCAACTCTGCTGTGAACTCTAAGGTGAAGCCCTCAGAGTTTTCCCTCCTCCAGCTTCCTGAACTCCCATTCCAGGGAAACTCCCTTCCTCCAGGTTCATGCTCTCCAGGCATTCCATTCCCACCTCCCCTCAGCCTCAGTTCCATGCTGGGCTTAGAATGCCCTGCCCTTTAGCCATTGCATTTGTTCATCCTACAAAAATGTATTGAGTGTTGACCGCAGGGCTGGTCCCAGATACTCCTTAATTATGACAGAACTTATGTCCTTAGTTTCCCCCACCACCCAGGGCTCCACCTAAGAAGGATGAGGCAACTGGCCCCCACGACGACAGAGATTTAATGCGCAGCGTTGGGGAGGCCTAGCGTCTTGTTTTAGAATACTTTAGAATGCAGTAACTCTGGAATGCTTCTTAGTCTCAGCACTTTTCACCCCATGGGTTATTTTAATCTTTGAGCTATGATTATTGGTTTGGGGTAATGTAAATTTGTGTTTGACAAACCTAAGAGAGGAGATTACTGGTGTCTTCTAGAAATGTAGCCCCACTTCCCCCCATTCCTTGAAGTCTTAGAAGGGCCTAAGTTATTTTATTTTTTTACAAAACTGTACCACTTTAATTAAGGCTTTTAGTTTACATTTGGCTGCCTCAAAGTAGTTATAACATTAGGTTGGTCGATTTAAATACTGTGGCTTCCTATTGGATAGACACACAATCTTTACATCTAAATGTTAATGCATACAAAGCAACAAGACATTGATAAATAAAACAGCAATAGTTACTGCAAATTAGGCCTGTGACCAATTACATATGATTAAAATTACTTTCTACATTCACATCCACAGGACTCATCCACCATTTAACATCCCAACCGAAATATTGAACATGTGAAGCAATCATCCACTGGCAAAAATACTAAACCTGTACATTTGGTATTGCAAGTACACTTATGCCTGAGCAAGCAAGGGATTCACAGTGAGAATCAACAGCTGCAGAAGCCTGAAAATGATTTACAAAAAGTGTTAAATCATTAAAAAAATTGTCTGAAAATATACACTTCCTGTCTTAGACCCCCACTGTACACATGACTATAAACATTGTTCCCTATGTCAATAAAAAAGAAAATGTATAATAAGAGATTTGAAAAGTCTAGACATTTCCTTCCTGACAGATATTAAAGGCAATGTCTTTAAGACATTCTACTGAAAAGACTATCATATTTTAAAGACAAGATCACTGTCTCCGCCGGTTTTTTAAAAATTAAAAAACTACATAGCTGTGTTAAAGTTCTTACTTTGTACAATAATAATGACCTTAAATTTCTTTTAAAAAATTGCATTAAGCTGCAAGTATCAAAAAGTGAAGTTATCTAGAGGAGTCTGCATAGGAGCTCATTGGACCTTCTTTGATTATGCTAAAATCGTAGTGCTTTTAAGATTTACATTATTGTACTCTCCAATACAAAGTTTGGGGCATGTTAAAGTATACAATACACCATTTTCATACATGCACAACATTGGTGGATGAAGTAATGCTAAATGTAGCCTCTGGTTTTACCAGCTGCATACTCTAGGACTATTATATAAGTAAAAATCTCTCTTGTGGTACTGGAAAGTGATTCGAATGTGCAAACCGATAGTAGCTTTCATCCTCCTCTTAAAGGGTACCACCACAGGAAAGTCTATTTAAGATGTTGGTAGGTTTAACAAAGTTGGAATGCTGGCACTGTTGAATTGGGCAACAGTTCTTCAGACCTAGCTCAGAGCTACAATGCATTTAGTATATTAAAGCAGCTGACATGACACCTTTTTGCAAGCCTTCCCAGGCACTGGAGTTTTTCTGTTAATTTGCTGCACTAGGTCATAAAAGATCTCATTAAAATTTATTTTTGATTTTGCAGAAGATTCTAAGAATGCACAGTTGTTCCATTGTCTGGCTAGATTTTCACCTTGTTTCTTCCCTACAACTCTTTCATCTTCCAAGTCACAATTATTACCAACAAGAATAACTGGAACATCATCAGTGTCTTTAACTGGAAGAATCTGTTCTCTCGGGTCTTGTAAATCTTTAAATGTGGACTGTGCTGTGATGCAATAAACTAATTGCAAAGCCTTATCCATTTTTCATGTACAAATTCCTCATTGCTGTAAATCATTCCATTCCTGCAGTATCCCAGATTTCTAGCGTACACTGCATCTACTTCAACTTGCTTTCTGTAAGAATCTTCTGTCATAGGATCATATTTTTCAACAAAAATTCCTTAAAACAAATTGTACAGTCAAAGCAGACTTTCTAATGCCTCCTGAGCCAAGAACGGCTAGCTTATACTCACACAGGATGCAAACTCAAAGACTAGTACCTCTCACGCTGTCACCGGGTCCCTGCAGCCCCATGCTCCCTCTGGGTCACTACTCTTGCCCCGGCCCTGGCGGGCGGTCCTGCCACTGCTGCTCTCCCGCTCCAGCTGGTTTACACGCCTGAGTCTGGGCGAGGTTTGGCGGTGTCCAGAAAACCCTAAGTTCTATCAAGAAGGAGTTCATGAAGTGGAAACACAGGTCACATCACTCACACACCTTCACACACACACACACCTGATGCCATTACTTTCAACTAAAGCATGAGACAAGCCCATGGTCACTTCCTGCCTCAGGATTTCATAAGGTTTTCAACACTGAATAAAGCCAAAATATGTTTTATTTTAAAGTCTCATTTAGAATCTCTTGAATACTATCAAACAGGTAAATGAGCTAAAAATTTAATTTCTAAGAGAACCACAGCTCTAGATTCTGTATGGAATAGAAAGCTACATTCAGTAACTTCTCATCACTGCCTTAATAATGCTAGACTATTCCAGCGGGAAGTATCAGTGATTATATCAAGAATTTCTTATGAAGTATTTGGCTGTGTCATCATACCGTGAATTTTAGATGGCTCATCCCAGCTGCAACCAAGAAAACACCCTGCAGTCAGCATTACAGAATATAATGGAATTACTTGAATGTGTAATAGAAATATCAAATGTTCCACCCTGAACTGGCCATATTTAAATTAAATTTTGAAGCTCATAAACAATTTAGGAAAAAAAGAAAATATAAAAGATAGCATCCCAGCCACAGGGTGAATACTGATTCATTTTTTATTTCCTTATTTATTTTCGAGACAGAGTTTTCCTCTTGTCACCCAGGCTGGAGTGCAATGGTGCAATCTCGGCTCACTGCAACCTCCACCTCCCAAGTTTAAGCAATTCTCCTGTCTCAGTTTCCCAAGTAGCTGGGATTACAGGTGTACACCACCACACCTAGCTAATTTTGAATTTTTAGTAGAAATGGGATTTCACCATGCTGGCCAGGCTGGTCTCAAATGCCTGACCTCAGGTCATCCACCCTCCAAGGCCTTCCAAATTATTGGGATTACAGGCACGAGCCACTGCACGTGGCCTTGTGACTCTTTTTTTTTTTTTTTTTAATGTTTGATTTCTCAGACTTAAGGAAGAAGGGTAATTTGGACTCTGATTGAGTCACTTTTTAAATGTTGGTCTTCCTAAATGACCTAGATCAGTGTCATGTCAACCTAGGAGGCACTAGCCAACGATTGAACTGATGACTTCTTGGAGAAACACGGGGCACGTAGGAGGAGAGCAGCGTTGACGGGTCAACTGTACTATATGAGGTACTATCTGATGAAGCAGTGCAAAAAATAAAGCAAGGCAATATGTGTGTATTTATATATATATTACTAATTACAGGGATAATCCCAGACTCTGCTATAACTATATATAAATGTCCAGCTATAGATAGGTATCTTTAAATGTTAAGTATCTTTATATACACAGCTATGTATAGCTGAAGGCAAATTAGTGAAACCGTCCTGTCTCGCCTCTTTGCTTAAACTGAACTCTGCTGAAATGATTCCAGACAAATGCCTAGGTTATTCCTAAAGATCTTTAGGGAGGCAGATATGACAGCCTCTTAGTATTTTTTAAATATTAAGGCTATCAGTCAGTGCTAAGGGCACAGCCATCCCCAGCTTTACCACTTACAGCTGTGTGACCTTAAGCAGGTCTTTTCACCCTTCCCAGCCTCAGTTTTCTTATCTGTAAAATGGGGGTTAAAGATAGTGCTTTCTTTGTGCAGTTGTTGAGAGGACTGAATGGTACTTGGTTAATAATGGGCATCCTGTAAACGTTTGCTATTGTTACTATAATAGGGCACCAAAATGAAATGTCTGGGCATTAAATTGCTCATTTAAATGTTTCCACAAGGGGGCCAGGTGCAATGGCTCATGCCTGTAATCCCAGCACTTTGGGAAGCTGAGGCATGCAGATCACATGAAGTCAGGAGTTCGAGACCAGCCTGACCAACATGGTGAAACCCCCATCTCTACTAAAAATACAAAAATTAGCCAGGCGTTGTGGCGCATGCCTGTAATCCCAGCTACTCAGGAGGCTGAAACACGAGAATCACTTGAACCGGGGAGGCAGAGGTTGCAGTGAGCCAAGATCATGCCACTACACTCCCGCCTGGATGACAAAGCAAGACTTCATTTTGAAAAAAAATTAAAAATACAATGAAATAAAAAATAAATGTCTCCACAAGGGTCCTGAAGAAAACTTCCAGGTAGCTTTATGCCAGTCACTGCTCAAACTCCTGTTTCACTAGCACTGAGTCAGGGCACGCAGGTGTCACTGGGAAGACTGTTTTCCACAGCTGTGGTTATTATGCATCTTACTCTCTTTCTTTGTTCCAGCTTCCAAGGCTGCCCTAGATCACAAAAGAAACGAACCAGAATCAGAAGGAAACCAGCAAAGACTGGAGTCCTAGATTCAAGGCCTCAAGAGCCCAGCAGTTTACAAAATTCTGGATCTAAAACATGCCCTTGAGCCTCCCTTCCAAATGCAACAATCTCCTATTGACTAAAATATAAGATGTGAAGGTCTTGGGCCCCTTTTTGGTCACCCTGTGCTCCTTGTGCATTGAGTTCTCATGTTCCAGCATTGGTGGCTATAGCCTGGTGGCATTTATTAAGCATTTCAAGAGTCTAGGTAGCAGCCCCCTCTTCTGTGGGAGAGTTGACCTCCTCAAGGAGCATGCTCACAGAGGCCACAAGCTTACGAGTACTTTCTCTGAGCTCAGTGAGGCTTGACAAGATTGGCAGTCCTGGGCTTTAAACTGCCATCTCTGACATGCAGCGAGAGTCCTACAGATCATAGGGACCTCCCACCAGCTGCCTTGTCCACACTTCATCACCCACACACACATGCCCACTTTGCACTCTGGCCTGACAGAGTGATTTGTACACAGGTGTCCAGGAGGCGGTGGTGAGCTGCTTGAACAAACAGACTCGGGAGCCTGCTGATGAGAACCTGTGCGTGACCAGCCGCCGGCCCCCACAGCTCCTGAAATCCTGCAATTTGGATCCCTGCCCAGCAAGGTAAGGGATGTGTGGCCTGCCCTGCTGTCCAGGGGCGTGCACAGAACTGGGTGCATCTTTCAATGGGCAAGACTGAAATACTTATTGTTACTCGATGTTTTGAAAACCAATTAGCATCAGTTCAAACTTTTAGTCAAATCCACTTAAGTTTAATTGAAACCAGGGCTTTGGAATTCCATCCCAATCAATGGTCATGCCAGAGTCTGGAATATACCGTGCATTGACATGAGCCTCTGGCAAGGCTGGTATGTGTGTGTGCCATGCCGTTGCTTTCCCCTGAAGGGAACATGACTGGCCACAGACATCATGGGCTCTGCCACCTTTTAGCCTGTGTCCTAAGCATACACTATAGTAATGAACTGGTCTGTGAATTGCAGAATGGAAGGACCTGAAGCATCTGGGTGGTACAGCTGATCCACTGTGAAATCTATATGCAAACACCATGCAGATTCATTATAGCAGGCTCCGGGGGGGTGTGTGCCATTCCACATGCATAAAATCAATTAGAGCATTTCATTGTTCAGCCCTCCCTGGGTCTCATTATTACCCAACCTTGAGTCACAGCCTTGATTGAGTTAAGCAATCCAATCGCTGCTTCAGTCCATACAATTTTATGGTGTCTTGAGAAACTTGCCTTTTAGATATTTATTTCTGAGCAAACCTCGTCTATAGTTCTGGCTTGGAAGGGAGATGTTTAAGAACCAAAGCCAGACTTTCAAATCTGCTGATGGAATGAAGAAATGTTGCCGAATACGGTCAGATCCTTGATGAAAAGGGGAGTGCTGATTCTGAATGATAGTTTTTCTGCCAAGTGTGTCACATAAGAAGCAGTTAATACCTGTATTGCTTTCAGGCATTAACCATAGTTTGCTGGTCACACTGATGCACTGCTTGTATTATTTCTCAGCTGGCTAGATTCCTTTCTTTGGGTCTTGGAGGATACAGATCATAGTCCTCCTCCAATCAGATGGTGGCACATCCCATGGTGACACTTCTCCTGCTAGTCACCAGAGTTGTTCTGTACGACGATCTGAATGGTGGACCTGGGCATCCCCTCTTCAAATACAGAAGGGGGAAACTAGTGCCATCTTCTCCTAAGACAACCAGAAAAATCAGTCAACCACTGCTTTGGAGAAGCATGCCACCCATGAGAACAGCGGTCAGCAAGATAAGAGTCCAAGTCAGGTCCAGTACATGAAATCCCGAGTAGCCTTTTTCTATCTCTGTCCCACCTGGTTTCACATCTCTATCCCAACTCCACAGCTCTCTAGTTGTTGAGCCTAAGACCAAGTGCATGGGAAAGGGCACAATCTTTTCTGTTTGACTATAGTCCCGTCATCTAGGAAGAGGCAGTGTCGATTCAGCATGGATGGCCTGCAAGGTTCTTGGTGAGGCCACCAAGAGGCCCGGTTTCTTATCCTCCTGTCACCAGCTAGCTCTATGGCCCAGGGCTAGGAGTCTGCCCTTTATGTTTCCACGTCTGCAAAGTGAACTAGTTGTACATGATGATCTGAGGTCACCACGACCTGCTCACATGTCCCATGATTCTTTGTTTTGTAGGCGGAAGCATTCAACAGCTACTCCTGCTGCTGTGTGCTGATCATTGCTGTAATTTCTGTTCTGCTTATTTGTCATTATTTGAAAAACTTGCAAAATGGTCTTTCTAACCACATTCCCATGTTGTAACAAGGCCCAGATGCTGAGGCAGTGCCGAGGAGTTGGTGCCT